AATGTTAGAGGCAAACACCTCAAACCTTAAAGAACCGTCGACGTTTAAATGGCATTATCTCAAAAATTCTTGAAATTGCCGGTTTAATGGTAATGACCTTTTCGAAAGAGCTTCTCAAAAGTCGCATTTTCACTAAAGAGGTTTTATGCAAAATTCCCAACCAGTAAAAACTTAGAAGCAAAAAAGGCGACATTTGAAAACATCAATGCAGTTAGAAAGCGCCATAACTCGGAAATGGCTGGAAATATCCCAATAGTCATAATAACGTTTTTTGAAAGCCAAAAATTGAAAAACTGAAGATTCCGAAAGTTTACCAGTCAAAACTTTGGATTAGCTTTAACCAAAGAAACTGTTGTTTTCTCAATTGGGTTCGATCAGAAACTTCTAATCACTTTAAAGTGAGAGGCAAAAATTTGATATTTGAAGACAACGTTGAAGTTTACATTAACTTTCTTTCTAACTAACTTACTAATTAAGTTTGATCAGCAATTCTTAACCTGTGCAAAGCTAGAGACAAAAAAGTGCCGTTGATGTTTAAAAGAGCGTATCTCCGAAAGGGATAAAAATATCCCGACAGTCGTAAGAAACGTTTTGATAGAGCAGCTCAAAAATTTAAATTTAATAACAAGGTTAAATTAGAAATTTCTAACCTGTAAAATGTTAGAGGCAAACACCTCAAACTTTAAAGAACCGTCGACGTTTAAATGACATGATCTCAGAAATTCTTGAAATTGCCGGTTTAATGGTAATGACCTTTTCGAAAGAGCTTCTCAAAAGCCGCATTTTCACTAAGGAGGTTTTATCCAAAATTCCCAACCAGTAAAAACTTAGAAGCAAAAAAGGCGACATTTGGAAACATCAATGCAGTTAGAAAGCGCCATAACTCGGAAATGGCTGGAAATATCGCAACAGTCCTAATAATGTTTTTGATAGAGCAGCTCAAAGGGTGGATTTAAGCGATTAAATCTCTAACCGGCAAAAAGTTGGAGGCAAAGGAGCAAAATTTCAAGGCTGCGATCAAGTTTGAAAATTCGCATCTGAAAAACGGATGAAAATATCACAACAGTCGTAAAGACCTTTTTGATAGAGCAGCTCAAAAACTGTCGATCTCAATTGGGTAGGATCAGAAAATTTCAACCCGTAAAACGTTGGAAGCAAAAAATGGAAAGTTGGAAGATTTCCGAGGCTTAAAACCCGTTTCGCAAAAACGGGTTGAAATTTTGTTTCAGCCGTAATCACCCTTTCGTTAGAGAGTGTCAGAAACAGTCTTTCGCAATTGGGTTCGATCAGAAAAGTCTAAGCTTTAAAACGTTGCAAGCAAAAGTGCGAAAATCGAAAGATTCCCAAAGTCTCAGAAACGCTCCAGAATTCTGAAAAACTATAAAGAACTGTTCGATAGAGCGACTCAGAAACTGTATTTTGTCAATTAAGAGCGGGAAGAAAATCGAAAGATCAAACCTTTAAACCGCTGAAAGCAAAAAATTGAAAAACTGAAGATTCCGAAAAAATGAATTCATTATCTCAGAAATGGTTGAAATTGCCGGTTTAATGGTAACGACCTTTTCAAAAGCCGCATGTTCACTAAGGAGGTTTTCTACTTTTTTTTCTATAAATGTGTTTTAATGAGTGCTACAAATAATCTATTTTCCTTAAAAATCAGACAATCCAAAATTGTACCCCATCAAACAACCATATTCTCATAAAGAAACTACGTAGAAATCACCCTGAATAAGTCATGATAAACTAATAGATAAAGTAAGGTAAATTGGCTTAAACCTGTTGAGATAAGGATAGCTGTACTTTCATCGCACATTCCTAACCTGAAATGGCCTTTTAACCTAAAAAATGGCGGGTTTTAGCAGACATTTAGCGAAACGAAAACAATTACAACACAACAATTAGAGATTAAAATTCCTTTTGCTGACTAAACACAATTTGAACTATGATTACGAATCGACTAGATGTTACTCATGAATTTCGAAAATTGCTCATTTATCGACTGGCTCTTGAAGGAGCACCAGCATCAATCGCGCAGATCAAAGTGCACAACAAACTATCTGCTATCTATGTGCGAGATTACAATATAAAATTTGAGGATAATAAATAATCTGAGGATTGCTTTAGGGTTTGCTCGCGAAACGTTTGTTTTGATGGGAATTTTAAGATGATGTTAAGATTTGAAAACTGGGGAAGACTTACCATGGCACTGCTGCCGCCGGGGGCTGAAGAAACCGCCCCCAGGAAACTGAACAACACTGCAAGACTCGCGCTCAGGCCGACCGCAACCCTCATCTTGTTCTATTAAACTGATGCTAAACCTCGCTCTGATGACTGGTTATCTCTAATCTATAAAAAGATATCGCCGCTTGTTATCTCTTATCAGAGAATAGCGTCATGCACGAGTACTGATGCGAGTTGGGATGGGTAGCGCGCACGCTTCGCTTCCGGCTGAGTGCGACTTCCTGCTACTGCTCAATCGGGCCTGTCGGGCCGTTCGCAGGACTGACTTGCTTCGGCAGGAGCGGAGAAGTGAGAGTTAGAGGAACGACCGCAACAAAAGCGCGACTCGGTTGCGACTGAAACAAAACTCGATGGCAGGACGCGTTTATATGGTTTTCATCCATGCAGTCCTGACCTGCCGCAAAGCTTCGCAGGACGATGATTAAGCTCGGCGGCTGCTTTGTTTATTGTTCCTCCAATTGCAGACCTGCACATGTGCCCAAACAAACACTCATCCCAGGGTTTTTCGCTATTTTTCGCCATTTGAAAGTATTCGAAAAATCCTGGTTTGCAACAGTTATTTGATTTTAGTCTACTTAGGTTTGACTTGCAGAAAAATGTGTGTAGTTTCCATTGGAACAGTTGCATCTTGATAGGAGGAGCAATTTTGCGATGATTCACCATAATTTTGGTTTAAAACCGAAAACTCGTCTCACACTGTATACTGATGGCAACGTGATCGAAAAGTGAACTGAATTTGCTTTCGAAAAGTGAAAACTGCAGTTTGTTGAGTT